TCAGAACTATGAACTCTAATAATTGAGATTCAATGGGCAGAACAAGATGCTGAAATAAAGTTAACAGTAAAAGGTGTGAGTGGTAGAACTTACTCTGCTGCATTGCTGGAAAATGTCCACAGATATTGAACTCAAGTTGAACATAAACCAGAATATTCCAAAAGGAAATAGTCAATGGTATATGAGGACATGAAAGCAATGGTGTATTATAACGTCATGGTGGGATTTACGGAATTTATGTGTCACGCTCCTTTCTCCCAAGGTGAACACTGTGTTATAGACTTACTCTCTCTTCTTAGACTGTACAAAGTATACAAGAAACCAAATTAATTTTCTTTTAAAACAAAATTCATGAAATGGTTGAGCCAGTTACTTTTGGTTAAGATTTTCCCTTCTCTGATCTTAAGAATAAGATATCTTACGTAGATTTCTTTGTATAATATAACGGCATGCATTTCAGTTGGCTCAAATCTTTCCATAATTGGAGGAAACAGGATCCTGGAGTGAGAGATATAAGTCATCTGGGAGACAGGGTAACCTGCTGCTTATAGCTAAACAATCATATCAATTCTGTAAAGTTAGTACAAGCACAATCAGCCCTTAGAGCAACTAAGATATGAAACAAAATATAGATATGGCTCATTGTGATGGATTTCCCACTGACTCCTCCTCCCCAACTGGGCAAGCAGGTGCTCATGCGCACACGCACACACAGGCACACAAACACATATCTAGCCTCTTGATTCCTCTACTTTTCCAACAGAGGGACTAGTCCAAGGTAGGTCAGCCTGGTATTAGAAGGAATAAGAGGAATTCCACTTGGCCTCTACCACAGAAGTTTAAAGGGTGCCTTGGGGAGGGCAGTAACAAGTTACAAAACTGAAATTACTTCCAACTGGTTATGACAGTCATTTGCCTTTCACTATATGAGTTCTACATTTGATTTAAAAAAAAAAAAATTCTAGTAGGAAACATTTGGTTGTAAAATGGTGGAGTAAACTTGGTTGTATTCATTAGAAATGCATATATTTCCCAATTAGCACACCCAACTTAGGCTTAAACCAATAGGGGTTTATTTTTGTTAAGTGACAAGAAGTCCAGAGGAGGGTTGTTGGCACTGACTCACTTATCTAACAGTTTTGTCAGGGACGCTAGCTGTCTTTATATTTCTGCTCTGCCATTCTTAACATATTGGTATTTGTCCTCATGCTTATCATCACTTCATGGTCACAAGATGGCTACCACAGCTCCAGATATCACATTCATGTTCAAGACAGGAAGTGGGAAAAGGCAGAACTCAACACATCTGTCTCATTTTATAAGGAAAGTAAAAACTTCCCCAGAAACCCCCCAAAATATGCTTATTTCTTCCTGGCCAGAACTATGTTGCATGGTCAACTCTAGTATAAAAAAAGCTGCAAAAGTATTTAGTTAGGTACATTGCCAAGATGAAACAAAGCATTCTTTAAGGAAGAAAGAAGGGGAGAATAGATATTGGGTTGGCAGCTAAAAGTGTCTGCAACAATGGCATTTTCTCCTTTCAGAAATCACACAGGAACAAGAAAAAAGGAGAAACATTTATGCATATTTGATATTCAGAAAGACTAGGAAATGTCTATAACACTGAGTCATGAAAAACTATCAAACAGGATCAGGAGTAACCCTGAACATCACTCAGGACTGACCAAACGCCAAGTCCTACCAAGTGCTGCATTTTCCAACAAAGCTAGAAGAGAGAAATTCTAAAGTTACAGGCACATCTTAAGGGAAAAACCCCAATACTGTTTATCTCAAACAAAAGGAAAAGGTGTGCTGCCTAGAGGTAAGAGGCCACCTGGACAGGCATCTATGCTATAACATAATAGACGAACCATGAAAAAACATGCTTTCTGCAAAAGAGCACAAAAACAGGATTTATGGAGAAAATAAAGTTACAGAGTAGACTATTTAAAATCTACACAACTTTGTCACCAGAGCACTAGTAAAACTGTAGCAAGTCCAGCAAAAATACAAGTATAGTCAAAAAAGATGTATTAACGAAAGAAATATTACATTAAGTATAGGATTTTACCTTAGAAAGGTGATGGTATCTTGTTAGAAAGAGGTGAAAGGAAAGGGTAAGGCAAGGGGAGAGGGACAGCATCATCATTTCAGGTGGAGAAGCACTGCACACTTTCCAAGAAATGGAGTGATAGTACAAGAAATGTAACGATGGTTCTGGCTCATCGTCTTGTTTTCTTTCTTTGACCTTGGCTTATAAAAAGATAGCCAATTGTTGCTGCTTAAACATTTTACTTCCTTCATAAAGAAGCTGCTTATATGGCTCCAAATAGGACCTAATACCATGAAGTGCAATCCTGCTGTGTCCTGCATTGCAGTCATTATCTTCTATCCACTGCAACTGCTTCTCTGTCATACTTCAAACAGAAGATAACTGAGGAGTGAAAAGCTCTTGTGGGGCAGCTTGCTGAACTGCCTCATCGTCTTGCACACCTTCCATTTGTGCCTCAGCAGCTAAGTGTTGTAGCTCTTGTGTAGACAGAACCTCTGCCTGAGAGTGCAGCAGCTCCTCAGTATCTTCCCTCTCAACTTCTTCAAATCCAACCTCCTCTGCAAGAGCATCACAGCTTGCTTTGATTTGGGGCAGTTCTTCTGAAGGTTCAAAGCCTTTAGAATCATGAATTAAATAAGGGAGAATTTTATGCCATATCCCATGCAAGCAGGCTTTTGTGACATCATTTCGGGCCTCTGTAATAATGTCAGTTGCAAGTTTAATGTTGAATTGATTCCAGAATTCAAAAACCGTGCGTGCATTGTCACCCCCCGTTGATGTAATAAACATCTTGAATGTTTTCCTTAAATGATAAGCTTTGAAGGCTGCAATCACACCCTGATCAAGGGGCTGGAGTAAAGAAGTTGTATTAGGAGGTAAAAAGAGACCTTTAATATTGGAAGAAAGCTCAGCAGCTGTTAGAGGATGGCTTGGTGTATTACTGAGAATTAAAAGAATTTTGAGAGACAAATTCTTCCTCTTGCAATATTTTTTTAACTCATCTACAAAAAAAAGATCAGTAAATAGCTGCCCTGTCACCCAGCCTCTCTTGCTAGACCTATAGTAGACACCAAGGCTAGTCTTTACAATTCGTTCCAAAGCTTGTGGGTTGGCAGTGATAAATCACAGCAGGGTTTTTAGCTTTAAGTCTCCTCTGGCATTGGCACCCAGCATCACAGTCAGTTGATCTTTTGTAGCCTTAAACCCTGGAGCTTGTATTCCCTCCTTTGAGATATAGGCCTTTGAGGGTATTTACTTCCAACTGATACTCATTTCATCAATATTAAAAATCTGATCCAGGGTATAGCCTTCTTCACCAATCAAATTTCTTAACACTAGGGGGAATGTCTGCAGCTTCTTCATCTGCACTCACAGCTTCATCAGAGAGCTTAACAATGTGGAAAGCACAGTGGTTCTTGAAGCCACTAACCCAGCCACTACTTGCACTAAATGAAGGCACTTCTGCAGGACTTTCAGCTTTTTTCTCAAAGTCTTCATGTAATGCCAAGGCTTTCTCTTTAATTTTGAGAAGGGTTGCCCCTGATTGCGTCTTTGTTTGGTATTCAATCCACACACTTAACAAATACTCCATTTCCTTATGCCTTGTTCTAACAGATTTTGCAGCACTGGCAGTTATTCCAGCTAGATAACTTTCTCTTATTTTCCCAGCAGCATCTGTAATTGTATGCAAAGTTGATTCCTTTATGCTGTTTGCACGACCAATGTCACAGGTTCTTTCTTTCAAAACATTTTATAACTTTGAGCTTTTCTTCAATTGTTAAAGCTTTTCTTCTTTTACACTCACAAGCAGAAATTTTATCACCAGTATGCTTCTGTGGCACCCGCAAACCCCTTTGCTTGTTCATTTTCTGGAATACAAAAAAGTTTAGCAAAAAATGCACAAAGATGGGGGGGCAGGTAGCAGCATGCAAATAAGCACTTCCAAAACAGAGATTGTGTCCAAGAGAGCCAAGAGAAAGGATGTGGAAGTGAATGGGCATTATATACAGTACCATGTGTCTTCACAACTTGCTGCATTCAGCTATCATCGGATACCTTGTGGCCCAAAATATCACCTTGCTAGGAAAACTCATGTATGAGCCAGTACAATTTCAGCATTATACTGACTCATTTCCCTATTCACCAATCTCATATGAAAGATTTTGCATTCCAGAAAAACGTGTTTTAATAGATCAGACTGTATACATGAAATGTTCATATTCAAAAAGAGTTCAGATAAAGGTATGCATAGTATCAGTATAGAAATGTAAGAAAGTTTAGCAATATTCATAATGTTCTACAATTACTGTCACAGAAGGCAAGTATACTCTTTTAAAAATAACCTCTAGCATAATTACAAAAGACAGAATACTGGGCTCAATACACCTCACATACCAATAACTCCAAGTACTGAAAAGCATCTAGAAAATGATGCAATTAATCTCTTCATTATACAGATGAAGACATTAAAGCTCAGAGAAGATGTGATATGTCCAAGATACACAGTTAATTAGTGACAGAACCTATCACAGAACCCAGATCTTATGATTCACCATTTCCATTAAATTGGCTACTTCTTTATTTATCTCTCCTAGAAGGTGTTCCTTATATTCTTATACTGATTTATTTTCATATATGGTAAAAGTAGTGGGCATCATAAGAAGAGAGCACTACTTTAATCTCACAGTGACTAAATAAAATATATTTTATACGGGTAAGCAATAGATCAAGGTTTCCCATTTGGTTAAATCATCTACTTATTTGGATCAGCTATCACTTACATGAAAGTTGTTATCCCAAAAGCATGAATCTATTCATCTACACCGATGATCAAATACTAATACCCCAAACCAGAATTTGCAGCCACCAGTATGAAGTTAATCCCACTTACTCTGTTTTGGACCCATGCACTCAAAATTCTCCAAAGATGGCCCCTCCGATTTCTCACCTGCTGTCTAGGTTCATCAAGCTCCCTCTCCAAATCTTCCAGCACAGTCACCACCTCCTCTCCACTCTTAGGATTATGCTCCCGCACCCAAGCCTGGAGCTCCTCAGGCAGGATGGTCAGGAACTGCTCCAGCACCAACAATTCCAGGATCTGCTCCTTGGTATGTATCTCTGGGCTCAGCCACTGACTGCAAAGTTCCCGCAGTTGGCTCAGAGCCTCCCTGGGTCCAGGTGTCTCGTGATAGCAGAACTGCCTGAAGCGCTGACGAGAGAGTTCCCTGTTATCAGACAAATTCTTCTGTAGGTAGGATTCCTGATCCCAAACATGATCTTCTTCTTTAACTTTTACTTTGATAATCTCCCCTTGTTCCTCTGAAGCCTGGCCAGCCAAGGCTGGAAGGGCCCTGGAGGCCACCGCCATCCTAAGCTTAGACGGCTCAGAGGAATGCTCTCTCCAATTGGGGTCTAGGCAGATGGGTGATTTTACTTGAAGTCCCCACTTAATCTTTGATCAGGAAAGTTTTCGATATAAGAAGACTGTTACCAGAGAAAAATTACAGATGCAGTGAAAAAGGATTTGTTTGCGTGACAACACAGGGCTGTTACTCGAACAATTCCTTTGAAAGTGAAGCCATCCTCTGACAAGACCGGAAATAGTGAGCACAGAAATACTCACTAAAGCTGCAGGGTCACAAATTGAGTGGCAGGTTACTTGCGAGACAGTAAAGTCAGGTTATCAAGGACACTTTGGCCCTAAATAAAGCCTGGGTATACGAGGTGGGGCAAGGAAACTAGAGAGAAGGTCGCTCTGAAACCGGAGCTCCTGGTAGCCCAGGCCAGGGCGGGGATGGAGAGGGGCTCCTCCCCCACAACGAGCCGTGCGGAGGAAGCCCGATTGTCGCCGCACAGACGCAGCCTTCCCTCAGCCGCAGCTTCCACCTATGAGGAGCTCAAACCCTCTCGCGCAAAGCCGGACAAGCGGGCCGAGGGTACCGCTCCCTTGACACACCCGCCGCAGGCCCCAGCACGTTCCCTCCAGGCCCGGGAAGCTGCCCTCACTTCCGGTCCGCTCTAGGATTCCAGGCGGTGCAATCATCTCTGTGGTTGTGGTAAAGCGGACTGGTCAACGTGCGGCGAGTGCTCTGTAAACTGTACAGAAACTTAACTCTCGAGTTACCCAGTTATCTGTCATCCGGTGAAAAGAGTTTCACAGTGTGAGTAGCACTAGTGTTGAGGCTGCTCTGGGTTTTCTTGTCACGGTGATAGACCTTCGCTGGCGCTCAGACTGCGGTACTCACCTTGTGTCCTAAAACAAACGTAGAAGAGCATCCCTGCTGCGAAAGCCAAGTCAGCGAGTTTGTAGGCTCCACCCGGCCTTTTCTAGATAGTTCTGGGCCACTGTCTCCTTTCCCGGTCACCGCAAGTCAGGCTTAAAGAAGAACTGTAAGATCTAGTCCCTTCTTTCCCTTTTATGGATGGGAAAACCCGTGAAGAGCGAGCTTCGCCCTAATGACAGCAGTGGCTATTTCTGCCTGTTCTGGCTCTGTGAGCGGTGCTGTATACAATTGTGGGAAACTAGCCCCAGAAAACCAGCAAGCAAAATATAGACGTGTTTTCAGAGCCTAGAGAGTCACTAGCGAGGAGCAACCAGAAAATTCCCTCCTGGCTCATGCTCCTTCACCACGTGCTCTGCCAGGCAAGGTATTTGAAAGTGCAGGGAGCTGGCAGTGCTAGAATGGATGCAGTTAACCAAAGAGAAAACGCTATTGCAAGAGGAAAAGCCTGCGGCCACCAGATTCTGCCAGAGATCTAGAAGCATAGGGATCATCGCAAGTGCCAGACGATTCCTCGTTCTCCTCCCTACCCAGCCTGCCCCAACGGCCTTGTTAAGAGCGCTCAGTAAATAACAGATGCCCGAGGAATATTTGTTGAATTACTGAATGGCTCTCTTTCCCCACTCTCTCTTTCCTTCTTCTTTGGTCCTTATTGATTACTCACATTTTGGCATTTCTGATTCAAGAGGCTTTGAAGAATCAGAACATGTTTTTTGGAAATCTCCAAATCAAAAATTCTTATCCTTGGGTTCTGTAAGCGGTCTTGAGTGAGTCGCTAAACTCAATGAAATTGTATATAAAAGTTTTGTCTGTGTGCCGGAGCCATCAGATCCTCAAAGGACACGGATGGAGCTTCCTCATTCATTTTCCCAGCCACTATTAACATTTTGCAATTATCTTTTATGGTTTTCCCCTAACCATCTGTTAATCCTTTGCAGTCGGGTCTTCTATCTTCTACCCCTTTCGTTTTCTGCATGCCATCATCACCACCGTGCTGAACACAGTAGGCAGTCAAACATGGAGTAAACATGACTTCTAAGTCCTCAACTGAAGGACGTTAATTTTTTTGTAGATTTTCCCTTTTAACTACTAAAGTGATATACACCTGTAAATAAAAAATATATATATCACAAAAGTGAACACAGCGTAAGTGAAAAACTCCTTCATCCCCAATTCCATTTCTCAGAAAAGTTCATGCCAAGAGTTTGGTATATATTCCTTAAACCTATTTAAAAATTAATATAGAAACAGAAATTATGACATAAAAATTAGGTCATGCTGAGTATTACAATTCAGCAAATTGCTGGATTTTGTTTGTTTGTTTTAAACTTAGACTAAATCCTCTCCAGAAACTGTCAAGCCAACATGTGGGTACCTACCTCTATCCCATTCTTTTTAGTAGCTGTATATTATTTCAATTAAGTGGGCAGGCACATTTTCAAGTTTCTGATATTGCAAAATGTTACAATAAGCATCCTTAGGTGTTTGCATTTCTGTAGAATGGCTTTTTAAAGAACAATTGCTGAGATAGAGATTATTTTGATAGATGTTGCCAAACTGTTCTTCAGAGGGGTATTTATCGTAAGCCTCATGAAGGGCGTCAAGACCTCTCACTTGCATGAACCCTTTCTAAGGACCTGGAAGGGGTCGCCCTGTATGAAACATATGTTTTTGTAAAACTTGCAAAAGTATATTATAACGGAGATCAGTTAAGACTGCTGCCTCTTTCTACTCCAACTTATCATCAGATACATCATATACTCCTTGGAGTGTCTATATCTAATTTTGTGTTGATAATATCTATTCTTTTTCTTAAAGAGGACTCCCTAAATTGTGTAAACTTTAGACCTCACAAAATTTGGATCCACCCCTGCTATCTTCTGAAAGCTAACACGCTCCCTGCAGGAGCTCAGGGGAGAGCGCCCCAATTGCCCTGAATTGTGTTTTGCCCATCGCCTCTTCTCCAGCAAGAACAAAGCATCAGATTTCATTATCGGTGTGGTCTCACTGAAGCCTGACCTAACGCTTCTGGGTTGAAGCCACTGCGAAGTTATTATCGAGAAGATATTTTAAGATATTTTAATCACGGCTAGGGAGGGTCGCTAACCTTTTCGGTTGGTCCCATGGTGTAATGGTTAGCACTCTGGACTTTGAATCCAGCAATCCGAGTTCGAATCTCGGTGGGGCCTCTCAGAAGAACCTTTTATAGTTCCTGGAATGACATTCGAACGTGAAATAACGCTTCCTCTGTTTACACATCTGTGGGCGTATGCAGCAGTATTCGGTTCTCCTACTCTATTCAAACATAAGAACCCAATACTTTCATCTGGGAAGTATCGGATTCTTTTAAATTCAGCTTTCAAAGCGCACAAACTTTGCCAGCAAGGAACTGACTAGAAACGATCGCCGCTCCCAGCGAACTCACGAACTTCTCAGGGGCCCCGGCGGAAAAGCTCCAGCAGCGCCCAATTCCTGTGATGGAGACACCACCTCCCCCAGATCTGCAGGTACAAAGGCTTCCTTGCCGCTCCTGAGCCGAAACCCCCGCGCGGCGTTCCCGAGCCTCGGGCCCCGGGCGCACGGTCTTCGCTGTGAACCTCACGTCCCGGCTCACTTGTCACTCCCTCTCGCCATCCCCATTTCTCCGAGACATTTCACTCTCTTCTGCTTTCTCTCGTTCCTTCTCGTCCTCACCATCCACCCCAAACTGCAAAGCCGGCCTGGAAACTCGTCAAAAGCCGGCAACAGCAGAGTGCGAGGTTCCTGCAGTCCAAGCGGCTCAGCCCCCTGGCCGGCGGGAAAGTCACTGCCCCACGGGTCGTGGGCCCCCAGCGCCGGGAGCTGGCACTCCCAGTTCATCACCAATCGCCCGCATGTGTTGTGAGTAAAGCGCGCAGAAAGGGCTACACGCAGTGGAGGGGCCCAGAGGAATCCAAGCGTGTGTGGGAGAGGAAGGCAGTGGCGGTGGAAGGTCTTCTGCCTTCACCCTTCCGCCGGCCTCTGGTCTCTCCCGCCCCTGCGGTCTGGGGGAAGTGGAGCGAACCTCTGACCGCATCCTTCCCTGAAACTGCCGAACACTCGCACCCGGGAAACTGTTTCGCGAAGCTGAGGCTCAGGGACAAGAAATGTCCCCGCGAAAAATTACTCTCAGTGTGTAGACAGGGGAAGAGTTGGAGATGAAGCCGACCAAACCTGGAATGTCAGGAAAGTTCCAGACAGACACTCGCTTTGCCCTTAGAATGGAGTGAGAAACGTGAGCTGGAGGGAGGAACGATTTCCTTCAGCAGGCCAGGAACTAAATTAGGAAGAGACAGGCATCTGTGTTCTGTACAAATTAATCTCTTCTACGTCATAAGAGACAACCTTTAAATTCAGTGATCCATAATATTTTCAGGGTCCTTATTATGTCGGTATTATAGTATTCTCATATGCAACACAAAAGCAAATCAAGTTCTACTCTCACCAGTTCCAATAATGCATTAAAATGTAAATATTTCACTAGCTTGCGTTATGAATTACTATTGGTTACACAGAGAATCTGTAACAAATGAAGGTTACTATGCTGATGAAAACAGGTTCTTTCGGTTCCCACTATGGGTGATTGATCGTACCTCCTCTTATATGGAATGTAAGGATGCTGATTGCAGAGGGAAACAACAATTTCTACTTGGGGTGTTGCTTTAGCAGATGTGGTCCTGCCTTCTTTCCACTTTGTTGATGCTAATGTTATGAGGTCTCCCCCAAATTATCCTCTCATTTCTGCGATAGCCTAATAAGCCTTCTGTGTGGGGGAAATTTATAACTGCAGTTCTTCTTCCAAACATCACCACCTGCAGCCTCTAGCTCTCTCAGCCATCCACAGCACTGACATCCTAACCCAAAGTCAACTCGTCAAATAGATCCCAGATTTCCAACCACACTCCTGGGAATTTATAATATAACTGTAACATAAGGGAGGACCACTTCTTCCCAAATCTTGAAAAAGAATTTAATGATGTAATCACTGTGATCATATCCAGCATCAAAGACCCGCTTATCCTAGCTCAAATCCAGTTACTAGAATTTATTCCAAGGTTCTAAATTAAGGTGGTGAAAAAGACCTGACTGGAGGGGTGCCTGCACCCAAGTCACCCAGGACTGAAGGGAAGGGCAAGAGCAGCTGCTACAGGAGGTGGAACGAGCCGCAAACACGTGAAGAGGCTTGGAGAGCATGTGGGCACCTCTACTAGTACCTTACATCCTCTGTGGGTCTCCTATACCTTCAGGAAGCTGAGGGGATCCTCAGGTTGACAAGGACCCCCTCCTTGACCCAAATTTAGGCTCCTCTGAGCCGTCTTCTAAACTATGCTCCATCTTGGCCTGCCAAACCCAATTTTAGTAAAGAATACTAATAAGTCCAATTTGGGCAAGAATCCTAATAGCTACTTTATTGAGAACTCTTAGCCCCCTTGACATCCAATACCTCCACTCCTGATATTTGATCAAGTTCCTTTTAGTAATTTCCCATCCAATGATTCCCATATGTTGCGCACTGGCTGTAAATCCCCAGATGCCTCTGCTGTACTAAGTTGAGTTCAGCCTCTCTCCTCTATTGTAATAGTCTTAAGTAAAGTCTTCCTGGCCTGTTTAACTCCATCTGATGCAATTTTTCTTCGACGGTTCCCTCAAAGATTTACAGATACATCCCAGGAAAATTTCTTTATCTGAGAAGATTTAACTCAGGACTTGAGGATGCAATACACCGTGTAGAGAAGGTGTGTCCAGAGTAGAGGACTGGAAGAATTAATGGCAGACAATTTCCTGAGGACATGAAAACAGATTTTCGAGTCTGTCCAAGATACGAAATATGTGACTAGGAAGATTGAAGGCAGGAGTAGCTTTCCTGGGTTGGACATTTACGGAAATAAAGAGAATTCTGGGTGATTGGATGTAACATGTAGATACCTCAGCCATATACAATGCTTTAAAGTTAACATAATAAATATTTGGATGATTTATTAAATCACAGATTCTAGGTCACACTCTCTGAGATCATAATTTAACAGGTCAAGAATGAGGTCCAGAATTCTTTATTCACAGCAAGCACATGAAGCAGCCTGAAGACCGCACTTCAAATATTGCTTTCAGCTTCCAAAAAAAAAAAAAAAAGAGAGAGAAAGAAAGAAAGAAAAGAAAAAAAAAAGAAAGATCAAATGAATAAAAGCAAAAGTGATTCTATTTTTATAAATGTAACAAATATTTTGTTGTAATAAGAGAAATGAAAATTAAATTGCACGGCAATGTCACTTTCACCTACTAAATTAACAGAGACCCCAAGGTTGACAACACATTATGTTGAGGAAGGTGAGGGGAGCAAGGACTTCCATCATTACTGACTGGGAGTGTAGATTAACAAAATTCCTTTGGAGGGCAATTTGGCAATATTTCAAATGTCTATATCCTAGGACATGGCAAACTCATTCCTAAAAATTTACATTACAGTATTACAGACGCATACATTCAAAATTATATATAAAGTTATTCATTGCAGCATAGTTTGTAATAGCAAAAGATGTGAAAAACCTAAATGTCCAATAGAG